GCACGCCCTTCCCACCATGAATTTATATATACACAATGCATATTTAGTAATATACTGTTGTTCTTCCTATGATTCAGAAACTCTTCATGCAAGGCTATGGTGGTAACTTGAGCAAAGCATATCTAAAAGCAAACATGCTCGCCGGTGAGGCTGTGAGTAATATACTAATATGCGCACCGTTGCTGCGTTTTGTGCAGAGGAAAAGATCCTCGATCTCTATTCCATTGAGCTCATACAGCCTTCGAAGAGTTCATTTAAACGAGGTCAAATTGCAGGGTAATTCTATGACGTTTCCCAGTTCTTCATCTTCTCATCTTATGGCCTTGCCTTATGGTATGAAACTTGAGCTATAATGTACATACCAGGGTTTCAAAAATAGGTCCGCGACCGTGATTTCGGCCGCGATATAGCGGTTTCGCCGTCGTCCGAGTTACCCGTCACGACCGCAATAACACCCGCGACGGTCGCAATCACGGTAAATCCGAAATAACCGAAAACGCGACCGCGACCGCGATTTGAAACCCTGGTACATACATACACACATATATAGACACAATCAGTGAATATATGTAATTTGTGTAGGTATGGTTCTACTTTAATGGGGAAGGAGCTATCTACCTTTAAATCCGTCATTAAATCGTTTATGGTTTTGATTGTAACGGCATTAGCCATGGGAGAAACTCTGGCACTGGTCCCAGACCTTCTGAAAGGAAACCAAATGGTGGCGTCTGCGTTCGAGATCATGGACTGGAAGACGCAGGTTGTCGGGGATGTCGGAGAAGAACTACGTAATGTGGAAGGCAGCATTGAGCTAAGGGGAGTTCACGTTAGTTATCCATCAAGACCAGACGTAGTCATTTTCAAGGACTTTGATCTGAAAGTACGTTCAGGCAAGAGTATGGCACTTGTGGGGCAAATCGGCTCCGGTAAGAGCTGGGTTCTTGCTCTTATACTTCGGTTCTACGATCCAACATCCGGGAACGTGATGATTGATGGTAAGTTTATTTCAGAAATCTCCCGTTTCACTTTGATTCACATCTTAATATAAGATTCAGTTAATTTTAATGATTTTACCTGATCATACAAAAGTCAAGGGTTTTTGTAATTAAACTATTATTTTGATTCCGTTTTGGTATCTAAACTTTATATTTTTTCAAAAGCATACATAACGTTTAGTTTGAATTTCATTTTGATACACTACCGTTAAAATTTTAACGGTGATATTGACATGTTACCATAAGATAATGCCACATCATCTTTGAGAAAAATTTTCAAATGCCACATTAGCAATTCTGTTATTTTTTTAACGGTGAGATACCAAATTAAAACTTAAAGTTTTAAACTAAACATTAAGTATGGTTTTGAAAAAAAAGTAAAGATCAAATATCAAAACGGAATCAAAATAATAGTTTAGATATCAAAACGGAAGCTGCTCTCAACCTGGCGTTGAGGGCAGCCTACTATCTTACCTTCCTTTACCCCATTACATATGGAAATAAGGGTCAGCTAATTTTTAAATCCCTTCGGGAACCAGCCCTTTTTGCCACATCCATGTACGAAAACATCCTATATGGCAAAGAAGGAGCTTCAGAATCCGAAGTGATCGAAGCTGCTAAACTTGCTAACGCTCATACTTTCCTTTCATAAGTTCCCTCCCTCAGGGTTACTCCACCAAAGTTGGTGAACGAGGGGTGCAACTCTCCGGCGGTCAGAAACAAAGAGTAGCCATCGCTCGAGCCGTTCTCAAGAACCCCGAAATCTTGTTGCTCGACGAAGCCACCAGCGCTCTCGACGTGGAGTCGAAGCGTGTGGTGCAGCAAGCTCTAGACCGGTTAATGAGGAATCGAACATCGGTGATGGTGGCGCACAGGCTGTCCACGATTAAAAATGCGGATAGGATATCGGTTATACGGGGAGGATGAATAATTGAGCAAGGGACGCATTCAAGCCTAGTGGAAAACAAAAACGGACCGTATTATAAGTTGATCAACCTTCAGCAACAGCAGCTGGAACAATAGTGTCAATAAGAGAATAACAAGAAGAAGAAACAGGTTACGCAGCTGCTTTGATTAATATTTTTCATTTAATTTTGCTTCGCCGAATATGAATTTATCTGAGCTAGAGGCATTGTTTCCATTCGAAGAAAATAATACTAATATACATTGCAGAATACTGTATCAATACTCTCTATAAAATTCCAATATTACTTTAATAATAATATCATACTCTATAGAAAAATTTTCACATTAAATATTGATATCGGTTTTGAATATCGATACTCATTTATGAATATCAATATCTTCCCTTGAAGTATTGATACCCTTATACTTTCAAAAGTTTTTGACAAATTCTAGTGTACTAAATGGGTACTAATGTTGGTGCCTCAATTTTAATATCGATACTCACATTTGTTGTATAGAACGTCTATACTCCTCAATGACTATCGATATATAAAGTTTCTCACCCACATTTAATGTAAAAAAATAACTCTCCAACGATTATATTCAAATCCCAACAACTTCATGAGTTGTAAATCAATGGAAGAATAAAAATATAACTGCCCACAGCTTCTACAAGTAATAAGGAATATCAAGATGATGAGTATTAACAATCAATAGAGTAAGTTATTAAAAGTTTTCAATTAACATTTCTTCTCTCTTTTAGGTTATACGTTCAACACCTGTTAAAAGTAAAATGTCCATATTTATAGTTGTTCATTCATTCAAATATTTTAGACGTGTGCTCACTTTTATACAAATTAAGTGAGATTTACTTATTTTTTTCTCTCTTTTGAGAGAGTTTAAGTTTCGTTATTTGAGCAGCAATTTCTAGGAGTTACAAGGTTAAGTATTGTCCACAAATGTATTTTGAAAGGAAAAATTAATATTGTAAAGTTAAAGTAAGGAATGTAGACTTTAACGTAAATGTCGAATCATTATAAATCATGATGTATATTTTTCTCTCATAATGTTTCTAAAGGCCAATCTATCTCCTCTTGATTATTCTAACATTTTTCTTAAACAATAAATTAGCTTAAATAACGTTGTTTTATCCTTAGAGTTTTAAGGGTTCGTAAATTTTTGGTTTTGAAGTCGGAAACCGATGTGTTTTGACCAATCAAATCAAATGTGAAATCTCTAATATAAAAATCGATTGTTCAGTTCAAATTGTTATATTTGCCGTGTTAGTTTGAATTGAAATCGCAGAGTCACCCACATCCTCGTTTTTATCAAATTGGTAATTGTTTTACTGCAATTTCAAAGTCACATGTTGGTTGAACAGAAGGAGAATCACAGACAGGAATTAAATAAAAAGAGAGGCTAATTTACAAAAAAGGAAAGGCTGCTGCTTTGTTGGTTGGGTGATGTACCTATAAAGTAGTGAAAGAGCAGTTGGAGACTGCTGCAGATTTTTTGGTGGAAATTATATGAACATTGACCATATCAGAAATTATGGATGCCAAATATTGCTGGAAATTGACAATTTTGCTGACTCATATGGTGAGGCCATACACTTAAGGAAACTGCTTAGAAGTCAGTTGTTAAGCCAAACATATACAATATGATACTCCTGCATCCCTCAAAGATTATTAAATATAACAATATAATAGTTCATTTGAATGAGAAAAAGATTTACAGTGAAAATGTAATTTACATGAACAAGAAATTATAAATTTAATAGAAATATAGTAATATAATAAATAATAAAACTATTTTTTTATCAATTTAAAAGATACTCAAAACTCTATAGATTGCATTTGCTTAAATACCGTATAGTAATCTCTTAAGGGGTTGATATAAGATTATGTGTTAGGAGATACGAACTTAAAAATTTAGAGGATATGAAATTGTAAAATTTCAAGAGGATGATATTATATCATCAATAGAAAATATTAAAAAAATACATAAATTGTATGAGTATTTGAAATTTTCAGAAATTACGATCGTACTCAATGCTCCTCAATCAATCCTTAATTTTCCCAAGTCTTTCCCATTTTACTATATATTAATTAGATATATGAAATTACTTGATATAATCTATCAACAAAATTGAATATTAAGGCATGCGACTACGGGGGAAAAATTGACTTGAGATCATTATCAATTACTAATATTTAACTTTTGCTAGTCAATAATGTAATCTACAACATATCGAGTTGTCAACTCTGTATTATATAACTGTAAACCGAGGTTAAGGTTTCTTGTTGGCCAAAAATAAGCCCTAGCTAGGCTTCATAGTGACACGTGCTGAATAAAAATTCAACCAGTTTCATCCTTCAAATAAATTACAATTTTGAATATTTACCTAATCCCGGTTTTAGGGTTTTTCATAGTATAGTAGGTGATCGTGTGATTGAGTCGAGTAAAAAAATTCGAGTTATTCGAGTTGATGAGTCTTATTTTATAACTCGAAGTTGACTTTAAATTTTTTTGAGTCGAGTCGAGTTGAATTTTTGAGTTTCTATTTAAATTTAATTGTAAATATTTATAATATTATGATATTATTTGATTCCAATTTAAATGGTTTTTTATAATCATATATAATACATATATATTTCTTCATTTTTTATGTGATACTCAAACTTGAAAATCAATTCACTAATTACTAAAAATTTCTAGTTATTCAAGTTGTATTCTACAACTCTATTTGAACTTGAATTTTTTTCGAATCGAGTTTATGAAATTATAACTCATCTCTATAAGAAGATATCTAGATGTTCACGAATGGACGTAATATTTGATGTTTAAGTGTGAATTTATAAAATTTTAAGGATTTATAAGGATGAAATAAATTATTAATAAAAAATATATGTAAATTATAATATGAGAATTTGAAATTCTTGCCGGTCTTTGTTTTTCCTTGGGAAACTTGTAAAAGATATTATAATCCAAAAAGGAATGTTAATGACATCAATGGTTTGAACTTTGAATCACGTAGCGCATGCATGCACCTATAAAAACGACCTGCATCTCTCGTCTCCCTCACAATATACACCTTAATCAGCAAGAGGAGATTAATTTACCTTTGTGATCGGCTGAAATGGGTAGGTCTCCATGCTGTGCTGAGGATGCCAACGTGAAAAAGGGGCCTTGGACTCCAGAGGAGGATCAGAAACTGGTTGATTACATTAACACAAATGGCCATGGAAGTTGGAGGTCTCTTCCAAAGCAGGCAGGCTTAAACAGATGTGGGAAAAGTTGCAGATTAAGGTGGACTAATTATTTGAGGCCTGATATCAAGAGAGGCAAATTCACTGAAGAAGAAGAGCGACTTATCATTAACCTTCATTCAGTGCTTGGAAACAAGTATATTATAAATATTTCTTTTCTTCTTTTTTTCTTAGATCTCATGCTTAGGTTTCTTAAAAGATACATGGTTTTGTTTTTTTGCAGGTGGTCTAGGATTGCTACTCATCTTCCTGGACGAACAGATAACGAGATTAAAAACTTTTGGAATACACAGATTAGGAGGAAGCTATTGAATCTGGGAATTGACCCTCACACCCACAAGCCAAGAACTGATCTTGATCACCTTTTGAACCTTTCACAATTGCTTTGTGTGGCTCAATTAGGCAACTTGATGAACCCTCTGGACACTGCTTTTAAACTTCAGGCTGATGCTGCTGAACTAGCCGAAACCCAACTATTGCAAAACTTAATGAAGATTATGAACACGAATCAACGAAATCCCACACCTCAAAATATCCCTATTAATGCTGGTGCAGTCCCTCAAACATCAAGTGATTACCAGGGAGTGGAAAACCCATTGGGATATGTTCAAGGTGGATTGATAAACTATGAAAACCTTGACATTAAGAATCATCAGATATTGAGCAATTCCTTTGAACAAAATGAAAATCAACTTCCTGGGTTGGTTTCAATATCTCCTGAGATGGAAAACATGGCCGAGACCGCACAAGATTCCAGTATCTATGAAGCTTGGGAGAAGCTACTTATGGAAGATAAAGCCGATGGTGGTTCCTACTGGAAAGAAATCCTGGAGTAGGTTTTCTCCTCTTGGATTCTTTCATTCATTTTTCATTTCTTTAATTTGTTGCTTAATTAATTATATTCAAGTTGTTTATTTCTGTTGCAGCTTCAATTCATCAACCTCGTCACCCATCTCATGGTAAAGCACCTTTCGGCTTAATGGAGGAAAAAAAGTTTTCATTCAATATTTTTTCCATTTTATTTTGTCAGGGTTCTTTCATTTATTTTATTCGTCTAGGAAGCTTATAATTGAGCTACCTCTCTGTATATTTTAGATTGTGCTTTGTTTTTTGTTAAGCAAGTTCAAACTTTTATTCAATCGATAATAAATTTGCGATATAATATTGTATGTTTTGAATACATATATAATATATATTGTATTTTTGTAAAATATGTATTTTTATTAAATTGATGACGGCTACCTTATGTGATCTTTTTCATATAAGTAATCTTTAAAATTATTTAATCCGTAAGACTTTAAGTATAATGATAGAAAATATTTTAACATTCAATTTTATAGTCATTTTGGATTTTTTAAAGCATTTTGACCATAACATTTCATTTTAATACAAAAAGATAATTCCATGGATGGAAACCTTTAACTATCAACCCTCTAAAATTAGGGTCTTTTATCTTAAAATGCTCTGAAAAAGAATCAAAACAAAAGTGATTATTTAATTAAACGTTGAGATAAGTTTACTCTAAAATAAAATGATAGAGGTTAAAATATTCTAAAAGAATTCAAAATAATTATATCAATGTATTTTTCAACATTATGTTAACCTTTAAATAGGAGGTTATTACAACAAAAGTTTTATCAAATGAGTTAAGACATAATCCATATATGTGATAATTAAGATTAATCCTTTTGTATATGTTGGAGCAAAGTAGGAAAAATATGGAGAAAAGTGGAGGAAAAGAAGTAGAAGTAGAGAGAATTCTGACTTTGATTGACTGTTTTTATATCTATTTGATGAGTACAAGAGTTATTTATATAGGAGTGAGGGATGCCTTATAATAATTGTGATACAATGAATAGTGACAACCATTTAGCATTTCGACTACTCCTATCAACTCTAGACACTTCATATTCTCTTAATTAAACTTGACATATTCATGAACATAATTTATTGAGTAAGCTAAAAGGTCTTATTTACTAACACTCCTCCTTGAGACTTTTGGCCATCATACAAAGTTTGAGTCTTAGAAACTCAAATATACCTTTTGGTAAAGCCTTTTAGAATGTCAGCTAGTTGGTACTCTGAAAGACAATGGATCAACTTCACTTCTTTGTGTTACGGAGCTTCTTGAAGTGTATAGAAATTAATCTTTATATGCTTTGTTTTGCTGAAGCAAACTAGATTCTCTGAAATGTCTGTTGTTGATTTGTTGTCAACTAGAACTTCAATAGCTTCCCTTTGTTTGTGTCTTAAGTCCGTCAATATTTTCTGAGCCACATAGCTTGATTCACTGCTGCAATATACTCAGCTTCAGCCGTGGATTGAGCCACAATTTCTCTCTTCTTTGAAATCCACAAAAACACTCCAGACCCAAGTGAAAAATCATAGCCAAGAGTACTTTTCATGTCATCCACTGATCCACCCCAGTCACTAACTGAATATGCAAACAATTTTGAGTCCGCACATGGATTAAACATAACTCCAAAATCTGATGTTCCTGTTAAATACCTGAGCACTCTTCTTGCAGCACCCATATGAACATCACTTGGTTTAGTCATGAACCTTGAAAGCAAACTTGCTACAAACACTAAATCTAGTCTGGTTGTTGTGAGGTAAAGTAAACTTCCAACTAAGCTTATGTATTCCTTAGCGTCAACTTTCATCTGACCATCAAACTTGTCAGCTTCTCATTTAATATAAGAGGTGTACTAACCAACTTGCAGTTTTGCATCTTGAACTTCTTAAGAATATCATTGGCATACTTCCTTTGAGAGATAAAAATTCCATCATCTCCTTGATGAAATTCCTTCCCCAAAAAGTAATTCATTAAGCCCAAGTCTGTCATTTCGAACTTTTTCTTCATCTCCTCCTTGAATGAAAGTATCATTTTTGAATAGTTTCCTATGACAAGAAGATCGTCAACATAAAGTGAAACGATGAGCAAATCATTATTGCCTTGATATTTCACATAAAGAGTGTGCTCATTTTTTCTTCTCTCAAACCCCTTGTCAATGAGATAAGAGTCAATTTTCCTATACCATGCTCGTGGTGCTTGTTTTATGCCATAAAAAGACTTTTTAGCTTGCACACTTTTTCTTTTCTTTTCATTTGACAACAAATCCAGGAGGTTGCTCAATGAAAATTTCCTCCTCGAGTTCACCATTGAGGAAGGCAAACTTAACATCAAGTTGATAAATCTTCCATTGCTCATGTGCTGCTAAAGAAATCAAAGTTTTCACTGTGTTAAGTCTTTCAACATGAGCAAATATATCTCTATAGTCAATTTTTGCCTGCTGGGAGTATCCTTTGACGACTAGTCTAGCCTTGTACTTGCTTATAGAGCCATCATGATTCAATTTGACCTTGTAGACCCATTTCATGCATATCACTTTGCGATCGTTTGGTCTATCAACCAACTCTCAAGTTTGATTTTTCTTGATCATGCTTATTTCATTTTTCAACGCTTGCTAAGACCTTTTGTCTTCAGAAGCCTACTTATATGTTTGGGGCTCTTCAACTCCAAGGTAGCATTTTCATATTCCTCCAGATCTAAGAGAAAGGTGGCATGTGATTGTTATTATTAGCTTCTTAATCATTCTCATTGTTATGTTCATCAATCACTACATCGTTGGGATTAAAAACCAGCATATAGTTCCTTTTTTCAACCTTCTCTTCATCCCAATTCCAACTTGCATCTTCATTAAACTCCACATTTCTACTGATCGTGATCTTCCCAGTGTCAAGATTGAAAATTCGGTAGCCTTTTGCTTGAGAATCATATCTAGTTTCTTCATCATTCTCATTGCTATGTTCATCACTCACTACATAGTTGGGATTAAAAACAACACATAGTTCATTTTTCAACCTTCTCTTTATCCCAAATCCAGCTTGCATCTTCATTAAACTGCACATCTCTATTGATCATGATATTCTCAGTGTCAAGATTGAAAATTCGGTAGCCTTTGGCTTGAGAATCATAGCCAATGAAGATTCCTCTTTCAGCCTTTGCATCTAGTTTGCTTCTCTTTTGAGATGAAATATGAGCATAGTAAATTGAGCAAAATACTCTCAAGTGTTTCGCTGGTGGCTTTCTTCCAAACCATGCTTCAAACCGAGTTTTATCTTGAACCGCCTTTATGAGCAATCTATTCAGTAGATATATTGTTGTTCTCACAACTCCCGCCCAGAATTTCTTTGGTAAATTCTTCTCTATTAGCATGCATTAAGCCATCTCCATAATTGTTCTGTTTTTCATTCAGAAACTCCATTTTGCTGAGGTGTATAACTCACTGTAAGTTTATGCTAAATTCCTTCATCTTGACAGAAAACACCAAATTCTGTAGAAGTATACTCTTTGCCTTGATATGATCTGAGTTTCTGTAGTTTACATCAACTTTGGGTTTCTGCGAGTGCTTTGAATTTTTTGAAGATATTGAAAACTTTTTACTTTTCTTTCATGAAATAAACTCATGTCATACGAGTGAAATCATCAATGAAGAGGATGAAATACTTGTTTCCATCAAGAGACAAAGTTCTGTGAGGTCCACAAACATTTGTATGAACTAGTTGTAATTTTTCTGACGCTCTCCAGACTTTCTCCTTCGGGAAAGGTAACCTATGGTGCTTGCCAAGTTTACAAGGCTCACATAGATCATTGCTTAAGGAAATTGAAGGAAAGTCTCTCACCATATTTTTCTTGTGAAGTTCACAAAGAACACGCATATTTAAATGTCCATACCTCCTGTGTTATAGCCATGTATCGTTCGAGTGAGTTGCATGTGCTCCTTCTGCTGTAGAATCTCATTTCAAATAAAAGCTTTTGTTTTCCATGGGGACAACTGCAATCTCCTTTTTCTCCGGGTTCATGATAGTATAATGGTTATTTTCAAAGACAAATGAATAACCATTTCTGACCATTTGAGCAACACTAAGTAAACTCTCATTCAAATCTAGAATAAGGAGAACATCGTTAATGCATTTTGTACATTTCTTTGTTTGTACAGCAATCGTGCCCTTTCCAATGGACTTTACCACATCTCCATTCCCCATGCGAACTGGAACTTTGATTGAAGAGTCAAGCTTTACCCATTTATTTGTTCTATTCTTGATTATAATGTCTAAACCCAATAAATTGAATTTAGCGAAGAAAGAAAATCATCGATAAATTTTAACCATTATGCTACAACGGATTAATTGATATGGGACTGCAAATAATCTTATGTATTAGTAGAAAAATCCCAAGTAAATGGAATTGTTATTATAATTCGAAAATAGTTTAATTAATTCAACCTCTTACTTGCATAACCATGGAGCTTATTCCCAGGTCGTAAGTAAAGAAAACTTGAGATGGCTTAAAGTGTTCAAGCAAGTGTCTCTTGCCTTGTTAAATTTGTTATGCTCTGCAATGGTTGTCGTAAGAAAAATAACTTGCTTTTCTCATAAAACTACAACAGCAAATATGAGCTTTACTGCAAGAGAAAAGTTGATATCCTTCCTGATTTAACGAGTATCATTGCATGATGTGATTTTCTATGATGCACTATGGCATCTAAGGATGTGAAATTTGGCTGAATAAGAAAGCATGGTATGTAATCAAAGTTGATAGAAAGAAGCAAAGCCAAGCCTTAAAGTGCAACAGGGAAACCAAAACCAAAGCACAATCTTTGCAGCCTTAAATCCTATAGGCGTCTAACAGATTTGGGGTGAACAAAACTCGGTTCAAAATCGATCAAATTGACCAATTACTTTCACCCATTTGAGACATCTGTCTTTCTTTCTATATAAATTTGGGATATTCTTTTCTTTTCCCTTGAAAAAGAAGAAGAAGAAGTTATGGACAACGAATCGCTTTTGCTTCTTTTTCAACTCGTATATCTTTACACCAAGCAATTCCCTTTTCTTTTTCATACTTGAAGAGTTTTTTTTTCTTTCAAGTCTTTTTCCTTACTTGATCACAAAACAAGACCCCCAGATAGGTCTAATTCTTCAAACAAACAGAAAATGGCGTTGAGCAACAATGTGATAGGTGCAATCAACTTCGTTGCTACGCTGCTCTCGATCCCGATAATCGGTGCCGGAATCTGGCTTGCCAATCAACCAGACAATTCGTGTATGAAGATCTTTCAATGGCCCGTTATAACATTGGGGGTCTTAATCTTGGTTGTAGCTCTAGCAGGGTTTATAGGAGCGTTTTGGCGCACCCCTGTGCTCCTTATGGCTAACCTTGTTGCCATGCTCGTCCTCATCATATTGCTTGCATGCTTGGTTATTTTCATCTATGCTGTAACCATTAGAGGCTCGGGCCACGCCGAACCTAGTCGGGCGTACTCGGAATATCATCTCGAAGATTTCTCGGTATGGCTTCAAAGAAGAGTCCGAAGTTCTTACAAGTGGAAAAGGATAAAAACATGTCTGAGCTCAACACAGATATGTCCTCAACTGAACCAGAGTTATTCATCAGCTATAGATTTCTTTAATTCTCATTTGTCTCCCATAGAGGTTAGATTCTTCTATCATATCTTATTTTAAGTTAATATCGCTTTAATTATTTTTCCGTTGACAAAATTCTAATCATATTTTCACCTAAATCATTTTTCATAAATTTTTGTGCATGTGTTTTGTTTACAGTCTGGATGCTGTAAGCCACCAACAGCGTGTGGATACACATTTGTGAACCCAACAAACTGGATTAGCCCCATTAGCAACATAGCAGACCCCGATTACGTACAGTGGAACAATGACCAAAATCAACTCTGCTACAGTTGTAATTATTACACCTGTTTTGACTTTAAATTAATAGATTTAAGTCAGAGTTTACTATTCTGTACATGTCCTGAAATGTGAGTTAATTACAACACAGTAGTCTGGTCACCGGTACCTTACATCATTAATTGGTTAAACCAACTCCCAACTAACCACAATTCATATGTTCTTAAATGATGTCAAAGTGATATAATTAGCAGAAAATAATTTCATTTTAATTCCAGCCCACGTATGTCAGCTTTTAATAATCCACAATTTTTATGTACAACCTTTTTATATTCCTACACTGGACAATCTTAATTAAGGTTGATTCGATTAAAATTGAATATCTAATTATGAAAATTCTAAAAACATAAACACCCCAGCGTACATGACAAGTGGGACAACTTTTATGGGGTGACTCTTGCAGGCTTCATAGTGGTTACATGTTCCCCACCCTAAACCCTATCCAATAACAAAATAACAAGTGGTTCAACCAAAACCAAAGGCCACCCAAATGCATATAATAAAACACAATGAAAACAGATCCTATTTAAAAATTTTAAATTATTATATATTTTTATTAGTAATTTATTTCTATTTTTTAATATTTATAAAAATAATAATTTAAGTATGAATTTGAAAAAATAAAGTTTAAGTACCAAAACGGAACAAAAGTAATAATTTAGGTACTAAACATGTAATTTACCAATTTTTTAAACAACTGTGGCATTTCGTAAAGGGACCTAACATCAGTATGCCTGCCTACCATCTTCCTTCTTACCACACGCATAAAACTCCTTGGCAAAACTAGGGTTGCCCAATATTTTACAAGTTGTGGATACCGCAGTGTCCAATTCTATATGTGAAATACTTAGGGTTAAATTATGATTTTAGTCCCTATATTTATGAAAGCATTCTAATCAAAAAAAATAACGCTGTTAATTATTTGGATTAACTCTTAAGAGGGTGACAAAATGGCTTTAATTACGAAGAAAATGATTCGTTAATCATTTGTAGAGTAATGGAGGTTTCCATTCAAAATGTCCTATAAGCTTAAGGATATGGCATTGATTCCCTCCACAAGTGAACCTCCCTTAAGAGAGTATACATAACACATTGACGACAAAGAAAATGATTCATCAATCGTTTGTAGAGTCATGGAGGTTATCATTCGAAATGTCCTTTAAGCTCGAGGATATGGTATCGATTCCCGCCACAGGTAAATCTTCAAAACGAGTCTCCACGACTCTTCAACGATTGACAGATTATGATCTCTTTCGTCAAGGTACTCTCACAACACCTTTTTAACAGTGAAAGATAAAATTTCGAGATAAAAAACCTATAGATAAGCATTACTACTACTTTCTACACCACATTAAGGAATACAAAGTAGATGAAGTGCAGACATTCGAAATAAATGATGGCAATGAAAAATATCAAACATTTGTCAACAAAGATACTAAAGTAATACATAATAGTGTCACTTATGTCCGGAATATGCTTTATAAAGGACATTAGGAAAATATTTTGGCGAACCGATCACCAAGGACAAATGAAATAATTATCAATGTGACATTGGTGCTAATGGACCCATGCTCAAATTTATAAGCATGAGATAAGGATTATTTAAAACAAATAAAGGACAAGGAGGGTAAGATGAAAGGGACCCTGTTTTGATGTGAATTGTATTCAATAAAAGGCAAGCGATGAATCAAAAGGTATATTAGGATTTGGTATGTATTTCATATAAACAGCAACGCCATCAAATCAATTCAAAAGGGTGGTTCAGGATATCCCCTTAAGCACTTATTTGTTTTTATCCTATATGCTCATATTGTGATATCCTACAAAGCTGCCACTACCACCGCAGCCACTAATACATACCTAAGAGTTTTATATTTTGTAAGTGAATCTAATTCTATATATATATTAATTAAAATTTTGATATCATTCGAGCATTTTACCAATGGTATTGATCGATAAATATTGGTGCAAGTGAAATGCATCGAAACATATTAATACAATTGCAACATAAAACTGATAAAAAGTATTTTAAATGAAACAGAAAGCAAATTCTAATACCAGTTTAAAACAATACAATTAGTATGGATACGACATGAACTACATCGATCAAACTTCTCATAAATTTGGTTCTTTGTTCACCAAATTACGGACAAAGTTTTAATTTGTCAGTCTTATATGGTTTTGGGTTAGGATGCTTATTGTCATTTTATTTCTATATCTATTTTCTACAATTTATGTTTCTATATCTATTTTCTACAATTTATGTTTGAAATTTAGATTACTCCTTTCAATAATTGTCTCTAAAACTCAAATCCAATTTTTATAAACAATTATTTCATTTGATTTTTTGTTTGATTAAATTTAATTTTAAGTCCGTCTACTATAATCAAATTTGGGATTCAATTTGAAGACTATTAATTCGATCTAGTTTTACTTTTTTACTGTTTGAATGTCTTTATTTAACTTATATAGTATAGTAAAGATTAAAATATAGATTTAAAGTGAGTCGAAATCAAAAGAGTTATTAGATTATTCTCTCACATTGGTAGTTTAGCATGAAATGATGATAATTTTAAAATAAAAGTATTTGTACTTTAGTTAGAATCATGAAAAAAATAAATCAAAGAATGGGGTTTATTGGTTTCGCTACCTACATACCAGCAAGCCCCGCTAGCTGCCGCCTATGACCACGTGAATCTTTAACTACGGAGCGTATTCCGCAAATACTTACCAACAAACACGTCTATCTCATCTACAACCTTACAAGCGCATTTTACGATAATATCTTATGATTTCGTGTTGATGCAAGTGTATATTTGATGATAACTAAGTTGATATCATTATTTTTCTTAGAACGTCTCATCAACATTAATGTCACGACAACTCCTGATTGACATCTCCGGGACATAAGAAAATAATCATGCAACAGAGAACAAGAGTACGTACAATCTCAAACAATAAACTTATACCAAAACCATCTAAAATCCCTCTAACCATTATTACTATTGTTGTCTATTTCACTTATTAATAGACTCACTTTAAGAAAGCGTAATAATTTAAAGACTTTATTAGCATATTAACCGATTAAGCATTTTAATTAAAATATTTGATTTTTATTTCCCTTAAAATGTGGTCACGGTGTTAACCACTTACTCTAAATAATAAAATGAAAATATATTATATGAAATTAACTTAAGGCACCAAATTGATAATGTGGGTATCGTCACGTGATTTTAACATGTGAGATGGTGTAAACCACAAAGAACTGCCAGGGCGGCAAAGTCTTATGTCAGACTTGTCCACTGTGGTGGAGCAATGTGGAAATCACAGTGGCATCTAAGTTTATATATATATAATAAAAGAAAGATTATTCATATTTGAATTTGAAACCTAATTTAAATTAAATTTTAAATGATATGTTTTATCTATACATACGAGTCCTCTTTTGACGTACCTGTCGTAGTCGTCCTCTTTTGAAGTCTCCGGCGATCCATACCCACCGTCAAAGGTCTATATAGATCCGATGATTCCTGATCACACGCGCGAGTCTCTCCCCTTCGCCTTTGAGGGGCATCATCCGTTTCCACTTATTTCTCATTGTTTAGTCCGCATATCGCCTGCGAGTGACCATAAACCCACACTTGAAGCAAATATTATGAAGTCCTTTATATTCCAACTGTTGGACGGAGCCATTGATTTTGGTACACGGAAGCATATATAGGCTTGTTGAGATCTACCACCATTGCCAATCTTGTAAATTTACCTCGCACACATTCGTCCCCATGTAGACCAAACCCTAAATCTGTGCTATTAGTCAAACCTACATCAATACCCTCATTTCGACTCTTTGTTCTTGTTCATTGATCCTCAACCGCCACGGGTGACCCCGACCTCACAAGAATCGGAGGGGAGGATATTCCAGCCGTCCTTACAATCGACTGCATGGGATCGTTCAAGCAAAATAAAACCCTACCCAAGAGACAAAAACCCTCCTAAATTTACGGAATCATTCACAATTACACATTATAACGGGTCATGTAAGTTAAAGATTTGTTTAGTTAATCACACTTCAAAAATGTGATTGACAAAATGTGTATGTATCTCATGCGACATGAAGATAATTAAATAAATATGTTAATTTAAAACTAATTATTTTAATAATGATATTTTATTTAGAAAAAAAATAACATGTAACCGTAGGCTCCTACTAAAAGCAAACCGCAGGCGCAGCATTTGCTGACCTAAATCATAAAAAATATCAAATTGCGTGGAGGTCCCACCCAACGAACCGACCTTACTAAATTGTACTACTTGTCTTGGAGTTGTATTTTCAGAGCCCAGAAATCAATCATCAAAACCATGCTCTAAGCCACCAGTTAGCATATCCAAGGGTCAGAATCGTACGGCAGTTTGAGGGACCCATTCGAAGGAAAAAGAAAATACCCACTTGCCCAAGCATTCACTTCCCCCAAGAGGCGGCTGACCCATTCATCCTTCCAAGAATCAACGGAATTTAATTTTATTTTATATTTTAAAGTTGAAGGTTACTAAGATGCATCATTGATCAAATAATAATTCATTTTAAATTTAGATTAGTAATTATATTTAAGTCATTTAAAGTATTTCTATTATGTTTTACAGGAAATTTAAGTTGTTTTTAAATTATTTTTTCAGGTTAAATGAATATATTTTTAATTTTATAATTAAACTTTATAATCTAAAAATGAATACATTTTAATGTTATAAATAAAATAAAATCTATTTTAAAATAATTTTTATACTATCTAATATAAATTAATCAATTAAAATCAAATAGTAATAATTATATTATAAAAAACAAGGGTAAGCTACAGGTTTAATACCTAAACTATTAGTTTTGTTCTATTTTGGTACCTAAACTTATTTTTTCAAAACCATAGTTAATGGTTTAAGTTTCAATTTAGTATCCATCTGTTATAAAAATTTAACAAAATCATTGACATGATATTTTTTTTAATGAGGAAGTGACATTATATTACGGTGACACGTTAATAACAATGTTAAGTTTTTTATATCAAATTGAAACTTAAACTAAA